AAAATAGAGGTTTCGTAGCTGAACGCCGGAACCTAGGTTCGTACGAAACTTAAAAGGGTATAGAAATGGTTGCAATTCTCTATACCCTTTTAAGTTTCGTAATAAACCATTTTTTTTTAGAGAGTTGTCTCATTGTAACGAAACAAAGATCTCGAAAAGAAAAATCTCAAAAATTAAAGTCTCGAAAGAATAAATCTCGAATGCTCTTTGATGACTACTCTGATATGGTAGACAGAACACATAGAGATTGTATTTTGAGTAAAATAGATGGGCGTAGAGATCCAGATTGACACAGAATAACAGAAAAGTTAGTTTCTTCTTGGCTACGAACAGCGAGAACCATTCGAGATACTACTTCCGATCGGTCTGGATATTGTCGAATCGGGTACTGAGTGCGTTCAGGTGAACTTGAAGTGCCAGAACTGTCTTTCTTTATCTTATTCTTCCTTGAGGTTCTCGCTAAAGTTTTAGACGTTGAAATCAGTTTCTCTTATTTGCTTGTTGAATTGATTGTTCCAGCCTGGTAAAGCGAACAGGAGAAGCAATCGCTCACCAGTTCACACGGAGCAACAACAGGCGGAGTGGACTGTCGCGTATCACATAAGCAGGCCTTTTCGACATATTAGTTTCGAGATTATAAGACCGAATCGCAGTATAGAGCAGATGCGAAGGGTTTGTACTATGAATGCTGGGATTAGACTAATGCCGATGTTGGTCTGTTGTTTGAGTGATTTCGGAGCTGCAGGTTCATTGACGGTCAACTTATGCAGCTTTTTTCCGAACAGAAAGCATGAATCGCTTCGATGCGACAAAGAACTGCTGACAGATTGTGCCGAATATTGTGTGATGGTCATTGGAGTTAGAGTTTAAGTGAGCTCAATGTCGGTTTTGAAATCGAGGTATTTGGAGATGCGATTCTATGCGACAAACCCGAATGGTATAGCTAACGGAAGGATTAAATCGTCTGAAAACGAGAAAGTACAAAGATAATTTTACTTCTCTCTGTTTGCTAGTTTAATACAAGCAAGCAAAAATTTCAAGTTAGACGGACAAATTCAACATTTCCTATTCCAATTATTCATCGAGTTGTCGCAAAATTCCCAACTGATGAGCATTCGAGCGGTACAAATATTTGAACGCACTCACATGGACTTAGTGTATCTGCTATTAGCTAGGCAAAAAGAGCAACAGATGGAACAATTCCAATCAGAATTAGGTGCTTTTCCACAAAATTTCCGTGATCTGTTGATAGTAATTGATGTTCTCAATGCTCTAACTGATAAAACAAAGCAAATGCGATTTCCTGAAGCGTTTTGTGCTCAGTCACATGTCATTTTGGGTGATAGTTTCCAATTCACGCAAGATGATATTGACAAATCAAACAATCATTTCGACACAACTGCTGATCTACAATTGATTAGTTTTATGAACAAGGATCCATTAATCAACAATTCATTCAGTGATTTCATCCTTAATCTACCTGCCGAGCCTGTGTCAGATTCGATATTCTATAAAACCTACTCATCCTTATCGAATATTCCGGCTGTTTTTGTACAAACCCGTGCAAAACTTTTCTGTCAACTCAACATATTTGTCGAAAAAGTTCAATCAATGATTGACTTCAGTTTATCGCCAGAACAGAGTATTCTATCAGATAAAATTCGAACAATCAGAGCCTATCTATTATACAAAACAAAATTTCAATTGTTGAACGAATCCCTAGAAAAAACAGACACAAAATACACTTATGATTTGCAGCAAGTCAACTTTGATACAGTTAAAGCCAATGTTGGTGGCGGCAGCGGTGAAAATACTATGTTCAATCAAGCTTACCAGCAATTGCATGAAAATGCTCATATAACGTTTCGACGAAGCAACGAACAACTATGGAATGCAGTATACGTTGGAATGTACAGCAGTGATGCAGGCGGACCTTATCGCGATTCAGTAACGCATATTTGTTCGGATATATGTAGTACACGACTACCGTTGTTTATTTTGTGTCCAAACGGACGAACGAACAGTGGTTTGAATCGTGACCGTTGGATTCCGAATATATTTCCGCCAAATAAACCGATTCCAAAAATGTTCAAAAAGCACTATCGATTCGTCGGACAATTGATGGGCATGGCGATACGTAGGAAACATTATTTGGACTTGAAGTTTCCCATTCTACTTTGGAAACAATTGGTAAGGGAACAGGTGACTATGGAAGATGTTGAAGCCATTGATATACAAAGTTTTACAATTATCAATGAAATGGAGAAGAATATAACACAAAATCAGTCAACCGACACCAACATTGACATCAATTATCTGTTCAGTAGTATCATGAGTGAACTCCGATTTGATGTTGTGAGCTCAGCTGGACAAACTTATGAACTCGTTCCTGGTGGTATGGAAATTCCGATTACGGCTGCAAATTTCAAAGAATACTGTACATATTATCGTGAATATCGCCTAAATGAATTTTGTCGACAAATTGAATTTATTCGTCAAGGCTTGTGGAGTATCGTTCCATGTAATTTTTTGAGTCTGTTTACAGCCAGTGAACTGGAAGAAGCCGTATGTGGAAAAGGACAGTTCGATGTGGAACTGTTAAAACGAAACACTTATTACGATAGCGATAATAGTCAAGATTTACCGCACATTCAACGGTTTTGGACAGTTCTAAGTGAAATGTTCAATGATGAACAGAAGAAATCATTTTTAACATTCGTTTGGGGAAGAAGTACATTACCAAGCCGAGATGAAGATTTTACATCTAAATTTAAGATTAATGCATACTATACATCCAGTGGTGAAGTGGATAAAGCACTTCCTCGTAAGTAGAATTTCAAGCTCGTAATTTTGAATGCTACGCTTTAGAGAAAAGAAACTTGCGAATTTTGTATGCCGATTAAGGGAATAGAAGGGAAATGATGGGAAGATTTCTTTTGTTTGGCTTGAAGGTGACAGGCAAACTTCATCGCACAGACTTTTCGGTGTGGATGGTTGTTTATTTACACGATTTCTGTTAACGGCTTGTCTTATGAGGGAACCTCTCAAGATGACTCCGTATTATTAGTGGAAGTCGATCTCTATGAAACTAAGAAAAGCCTAAAAGGATTGTGTCTATGACCCTTTGTTTCCGAGACCTTTTAGTTTCAAGTGGATTTTAGTTTGTTGCACTTGGAGTGATTTCCCGCAAACTTGAAGACATGAATTTTGATTTGACACTTTGCACACATGAACGTCCCTACTAGACTGATCCCTATAGAAAGTTTCGAAAGTTTTAGGGACGCCTACGCTGACATAACAATTATTCAGCACCTTGGTTCGAGCAAAATATGACTATTATGCGTTTTTAAAAAGAAGGTTCCTGAGCAAAATGCTAATAACTTTTTAACCAAAAGAACTGGAGACCCGCGGTTTGCAGATTCTAAAACTAGACACTTTGGGACGTAAACCTATGAAAAAGTTAGGGCTCCCGATAAAGTTTATCATGGTGTACCATTTGAGATAAAATCTAAATGCTCACCGTTCCCAAACCACACCATGAAATTTAATCTCAACTAACACCAATCGATAGCCAGGATATCACTCCTCAAAACCACACAAGACCAAGACCTTCGTATCCTCTGGTTTCGGAGATACAGACGATTTCCGAGGACACATCTGTCTGGTTTCAGACGCATCTGGAAATCTCAAAAACACGGGGATCATAGGTAATCGATCACGCTGATCATCGTGGCGATGTTTATTTCATAACCCACTCAACTAGAACCGCAACAAAGCCAAATTGATGATCCGGTTTTTCATCTGTTGCTGTCAAAAATCAAAAACCGTATATTTCATTTATTTCTCGCTCAAATAGACTCAAATATTCAGGAAATGATTAGCAGAGGTCATAGAATGTCGAACTGGTGGAAAACGTTGGATCTGGATTTTGGTTGTAGGAGGTTTTCCAAAGATCCGCTAAACACCCGTATGCATCAACTGGAAATCTTATGTAACGTTTTCGACCAGTTCGATCTTCTGTGATCTCTGCTAATCATTTCCTGAAAATTTGAGCCTATTTGAACGAGAAATGAGTGAAATATACGGTTTTTGAGTTTTGACGGCCATGTGTGGGTTTTGAAACTTTCTTCAAAGACTATTCTAGTAGAGACCTGCATGTGTGCAAAGTATGAAGTGGAAATTCAAAAGTTCAGGTTTGTACAGGAAACCAGTGTCACGCCTGAAAATCCACTTGAAATTCAAATGTCTCGGAAACGAAATGCTGTAGGCACAAACCGTGTTATACTTTTCTTAGTCTCATGCAGATTGACGTACTAATAATATGGAGTTGCAACCCGCGAGACAGTTGGGCGGTTTCCTCGAAAGGCTTGTCCGATATCTTCTCATGATAAGTCCAAAATATGTTGAATATTACAGAGATGTGCAAAAAATATCTCAATATATTGTGAGCGCCTTATTCAGGCGACATGATAGGAACATCTTAGATATGAAATGATGCAACATGGACTCCTGTGATTATTTTATAGACTGCGAGGCTACGTGGTGTCGAGCTCACCTTTCTTTACCTCTGACTGTAGAAAGTGCAGACAGTGCGTCTAAATCACATACGTTTCAGGCTTCTTGCATGGAATATCGGAGTCACGAATCTGGTTTTGTTTTTTGGAAAATCACATTTCAACGTTAAAAATAAATCTTACCCTATCTGATGAATTATAAAACTATATAAAGAGAGACTATATGCGTCGACCCAGTATCCGAAACACCCAGACAAATTTTAATATTTTGATCCTTTATATGCGTTCAAAAGACCAACTTCGGAAACTATCAAACACAAATTTTTGTATGGCAATACCAAACTGTATAAGCCTCAGCATCCAATTCTTTTCCGTTTAATTCCTACCATTTTGTACATCAAAACTCGTTCACAACAAATGTGAACATGAGCTTGGAACTCTTGACCTCAAGTTTCGCAGCCGCTTTAAAGTGGCCAAAATGAGTCACACCGATGTTGATCTAGCTGACTCCATTTTTATAGAAATTGAGAAACAAAGCCATGGACACATTAGAAGACCCTCTTGAGCGAACGAAGCTAAAGACAGATTAGAAGACTACCCGGACTGGAATGTACGATATCAGCCAATCGGAAAAGCAGAGGTTACTAGATGATGAAGGGGGAAACACAGAACAGCAACAACAGTCTGTAAACTAAACAGACTGATGTTTTGAAAAAAACATTCTTCTGCTAAAGTGTAATATCGCATTACCGAAAGTTTAGAAGAGAAAACGATGCTCATCGTCGTTGAACGCCAACAAAAAGAGATAATCCAGAAATGCGATGGGCAAGGAGAAGACAGGGAAGAGTTCGATCATCAACTGCAAATAGACGCGGAGCATGATTTTAGATTTTGCTATAATGACCACTTTTTTATGCGACTGTGATTCTTATTCTTACAGATTATATCTATCATTGAAATGAAATACAAAATAAAAATGAAAAAGATATTCGGTACATCATCACATTTAGATGCAATCCTGTATCTGAAGAATGAAGAGAGAAATCTAACTAACATCGCTTCCACGGAATCAGAATTGTTAGTTTCCTAATCAAGTTCTCGAGATTTTTTAAAATTGTTGACCCATTCGGTCTCGCCTAAAAACACGAGAGCCTCGATTCGTTTTTGATTCTCAAAAGCCATGTTTTGCCAAATGAACTTTAAACAAAAATATTAGTTAAAACACAATTCACATTGTCATAGACCTACTCTTTTTCAGTTGCTAATTGATCTAATTCATTTCGAAATGTTTCTTCTCGAGAATTATGTTCATGTGATAAATTTTGTTTTTCTTGTTCTAATTCTTCTATACTCGGACTGGGCTTCACACGATAGATGCCCAAAACACGCAATTATGCTAGCAAACTTAACTCCGCGCCATAGCGATGGGAAGAATATTAGCGATAATCGAAGTGCTATTCTTGAACAGTTCACCCAATAGCTTCGCAGGCAATCACACCGATTAGTCCGTGAGGTGTTTCAGATTCCGCTTTTGAATGTACCTGCTCTTGTCAGGTCCTTCTGATTCATCAAGATAATTTTTTCCAATTGGTGGAGTAAAATGAAGAGTAAATATTGTCTCGAAGCGACCATACGTGTGTCCTAGCAGCTTTTTGAAACGGATACTAAGATTAGTTTTATTTATTTTTAGGATCTCATACATGTTTCTTTACCATTGATTTACCCGAATATTCCACGACTGAAATCATGTACGAGCGTTTGAACTACGCCATTACCTATTGTTCAAGTATCGACGGTGATGGCAGCATGAACGAAATTCCTGCCGAAATGAATTTTAACTCTGATCCGAGTTCCGATGAATGATAAAAAGAAAGAGAAGTGCATGTTGCTGCTTTGAGCAGTACTTCTGTTACTGAATTATTTTTTAAGCATAATACGCTTTGTGTCGTCTCTTACTGTCACAAAACTAACATTTTTCTAGGTTTGGTCTTTTATTTATTACTTTAAACTAACCATTTACAAATAATCACTCTTAGTTTTTCACTGATCTTTCAAGGAAAATTTTACAACGCCGTTGGACGGAGACTATGTTCAATCGTTGGGGTCTAAATGAGTAGGTAAATGTGCTGAACTGAACTGAACTGAACTGAAACTTATTTTACACAAAGGCAAGATATCACAAAAGGCACCAAAAAGACTAGTGGCATCCGGAGACACCTCATGATAACCTAAACTAAAACGTTTCTAGAAAGAATCGATGCTAGAGTGGTTCGCTTAATGCGGCCGATGTTACCAAGGTAGTGAATGTTTAGTTGATTTGTCAGCAGATTTTAGGATTTTCTAGAAAAGTCTTACTTTTTTTAGCCTCCGATATTGTTCTGATGAAAAGTTAACGCTAGACAAATTTTGAGTACTCCTCCACTTCCACGTAAAATCGATGAAAAATTGCTTGAGTAAAGTCTCCTAGCCCGACAACAAATCCACAAAATTTTTTTCGCAATATACGAAAAGATAGACCGTCGAAAGCTCAACAAAATGCTCTATTCGGATATTATGTTTTATACACCGGTTGTGTTTTATTTGCCAAACACTGTCGGGTAAGAGTCATTTTTGCCGATTACAAATGGTCGATTCTGGTAGTGCATCGGCCACGATGCAGTCACGTTAATGAGTTTTACACTGATTTTCATGTATTTTGTGTAACTAATTTGGTAAACTAATTTTTTTCTTCTTATTGCTGTAGCATTGAGCTGAAAATGAACATTTAGGGCTTTTCTTGTAAACTCTATAACTTTGCAAAAAAAAAAGTCGTGTAGAGCTGGGAGATATCTCATTTTAATCAGAAATTTGCGGACTACAATCATGTATCATTAAGAGAGGTTCTTGTTATACTTTAAAGTTCCTGAAAAATTATTTTTCTACAATACAGGGTCTTCTAAGGGCTAAGGGCCTGTGTCCGGAGTATGGACATGACATTTTTTAATCGAGTTATGTAGAACTCGACTTCTCTTTTATATGACACAAAAATGAAGGTTTTACGACAGGGATAAGAAGTCAGGAAAACTGACTTGCAAAAGAGGTCGTTTCTGTTGGAAAACGATAAAAAATCCGACTTTCCCCTGGGAAAGTATTTTCACTATATCTTTTTCTAACAATGCTATAGAGCTACGGTTTTCACCATTGGAATCAGCGTCTAAAACTGCATCTGGAAACGTGTTTTTCATTTTCTGCACCAGAAGTTGATGTAATGGCGGTAGGATCTATGTGCATTTACCCAAGTACAGATAAGCTAAATCAATATGAACTTCTCCAGTCCAG